TCATCATATGGCCTTCCTTGGCATAGGCGTTCATTCATCTTCACAGAGCTCAGTCCCCTGTCCCCTGGATCAGTTCCACCGATAATATCCCTTCATCCCACCATCACAATCCTTCAGTCATCATGTCTCTCGGTTTGCCTCTCCCTGTTCTACAGTTGATCTTCCCAGTCGTCACAATATTCTCCAAAGCCTCCCCCTTATTACATGACCAAAAGAACAGTGTTCGTCTTTTCCTTATAGCTGTATCTATTGATCTGCTTGTATTAGCTTCCCCCAAGCAATCCTCGTTAGTTACTAAGTCAGTCCAATGGATTCTTAACATTTGCCTGAGGAACCACATCTCCGCCACCACATCTCTGTCGCCTCCACAGAGTGAAAGGGTTAAATTCACGTATTTATAATACTTCTTTATTTGTCTTTTTCACTTGCCATAGTATACTTGATGGTTATTCATACAACTACGTTTCAAATTCTTCACATTTAGGCTCGCATCATTATATATTTTTGTAAATACACAAAAATATACGTAATGGTTGCTACTCAGCTGTGTTACCAATGACAGTTTGTACAAGGTAGATAAGTAAGCGATCTTTATTTGAGATGTTATGCTACAAACTGCAACTGCATGTATCAGGAGATGATAAAGTACCATTATGTTTTCTTATATACACACACACTAAACACCACATGAATTTCATGAAGCACCACACATCTTTCAGGAAACACTAAACACATTCCATGAAGCACCAAACACAATTCGTGAAGCACCACACACAATTCGTGAAGCACCATACACATTTAATGAAACACCACACACATTTCATGAAGCACTACACACACATTTCATGAAGCACCACCACACACATTTCATGAAGCACCACCACACACATTTCATGAAGCACCACCACACACATTTCATGAAGCACCACCACACACATTTCATGAAGCACCATTACACACATTTCATAAAGCACCACCCACACATTTCATGAAATACCACCACACACATTTCATAAAGCACCACCACACACATTTCATAAAGCACCACCCACACATTTCATGAAATACCACCACACATATTTCATAAAGCACCACCACACATATTTCATAAAGCACCACCCACACATTTCATGAAATACCACCACACACATTTCATAAAGCACCACCACACACATTTCATAAAGCACCACCCACACATTTCATGAAATACCACCACACATATTTCATAAAGCACCACAATACACATTTCATGATGCACTGCACATTTCATGAAGCACCATTACACACATTTCATAAAGCACCTTACACACATTTCATGAAGCACCATCACACACATTTCATGAAGCACCATTACACACATTTTATGATGCACTGCACATTTCATGAAGCACCATTACACACATTTCATAAAGCACCACCCACACATTTCATAAAATACCATCACACACATTTCATGAAGCACCATTACACACATTTCATGAAGCACCATTACACACATTTCATGAAGCACCATTACACACATTTCATGAAGCACCACCACACACATTTCATGAAGCACCACCACACACATTTCATGAAGCACCATTACACACATTTCATGAAGCACCATTACACACATTTCATGAAGCACCATTACACACATTTCATGAAGCACCATTACACACATTTCATGAAGCACCATTACACACATTTCATGAAGCACCATTACACACATTTCATGAAGCACCATTACACACATTTCATGAAGCACCACCACACACATTTCATGAAGCACCATTACACACATTTCACGAAGCACCACCACACACATTTCATGAAGCACCACACACATTTCATGAAGCACCATTACACACATTTCATGAAGCACCACCACACACATTTCATGAAGCACCACACACATTTCATGAAGCACCATCACACACATTTCATAAAGCACCACCACACACATTTCATGAAGCACCACACACATTTCATGAAGCACCACCACACACATTTCATGAAGCACCACACACATTTCATGAAGCACCACCACACACATTTCATGAAGCACCACCACACACATTTCATGAAGCACCATTACACACATTTCATGAAGCACCACCACACACATTTCATGAAGCACCATCACACACATTTCATAAAGCACCACACACATTTAATAAAACCACTATACATCTTTCATAAAGCTCAACACACATCTCATAAAGTTAACACACACACATCATGAAGCACTAACCACATCTCATAAAGTTAACACACACACATCATGAAGCACTAACCACATCTCATAAAGTTAGCACACACGTACCATGAAGCGCCACCACACATCTCATAAAGTTAACACACACGTATCATAAAGCCCCACCACACATCTCTAAAGATAACACACACATATCATGAAGTGCCACCACACATCTCATAAAGTTAACACACACGTATCATGAAGTGCCACCACACATCTCATAAAGTTAACACACACGTATCATGAAGTGCCACCACACATCTCATAAAGTTAACACACACATATCATGAAGTGCCACCACACATCTCATAAAGTTAACACACACACATCATGAAGTGCCACCACACATCTCATAAAGTTGTATATCTCTAAAGATAACACACACATATCATGAAGCACTACACACATCTCATAAAGTTAACACACACACGTATCATGAAGTGCCACCACACATCTCATAAAGTTAACACACACGTATCATGAAGTGCCACAACACATCTTTCATGAAGCGCAACACATATCTGCCAATAAGCAGCACACATCTTTCACGAAGCACCATTCACATCCTCCTGCTCTTACCACTCAATTTAACAGTAATGAATACCTTTTCCACCCTTGTTCAGACAATGTTCTAACCCCATTATGAGGTCATTGACTACATTCTTTTTAAATGCAGTGTACTCTTAAAAGACGGGGTAAAACAACCGTCTCCACCCTCCCCCACCAACTCCACCCCATCACCCCTCTTTTTAATGCCAATGGTACATCGAACATATGACGCTCTTTTATAGACTAATCCACACTTAGTGGGTAATTTGATCAACATGACGCCAGGGGAAAAACAACACCAGCCATATCTTCCAGTTACAAACCTACTCTATAAAAGTAAGTAAAGTGAAAGACACTTGTCACGCTTCATGCCATTAGTACATTGGACTTATGGTGCTTGACTCACATTTGTAGACCAATCAACACTCCCACATGTTTGTTAAAGACCAATCTGTACTGCCACATTTTTTTTATACATATCAACATTCCCATATTTATTAGACCAATCAGCACTTCCACACTTTTTTTAGACATATCAACACACCCATATTTTTTTAGACCAATCAGCACTCCAAGGTTATTTAAAACAGTCAGCACTCCTACTTTTTTTAGACCAATCAGCACACCCATATTTTTTAGACCAATCAGCACACCCATATTTTTTAGAACAATCAGCACACCCATTTTTTTAGACCAATCAGCACACCCACTTTATTTAGAACAATCAACACTCCTACATTTTTTAGACCAATCAGCACTCCCATATTTTTTAGACCAATCAGCACTCCCATATTTTTTAGACCAATCAGCACTCCAACGTTATTTAGAACAGTCAGCACTCCTACATTTTTTAGACCAATCAGCACACCCATATTTTTTAGACCAATCAGCACACCCATATTTTTTTGACCAATCAGCACACCCATATTTTTTTAGACCAATCAGCACACCCACTTTATTTAGAACAATCAACACTCCTACATTTTTTAGACAATCAGCACTCCCATTTTTTTTAGACCAATCAGCACACCCACTTTATTTAGAACAATTAACACTCCTATATTTTTTAGACAATCAGCACTCCTACATTTTTTAGACCAATCAGCACACCCATATTTTTTAGACCAATCAGCACACTCACTTTATTTAGAACAATCAACACTACTACATTTTTTAGACAATCAGCACTCCCATATTTTTTAGACCAGTCAGGAATCAACGGGTGGGTGATGTGGTCAACATCACAGTTGCTTCCCTTGGCATTTCCTGATACCCGTATAGGCTAGATTAACAGTTCCAGTGTGGATTTGAACCCAAGTTCTCCAATTGTGGGTTCCAGGGCTCTATTGTAGGTAAAACAAGAATAAACCCACTGCCTCCCTAAAAAGCATGTCGTATGAGAACTAACTAGGAGCTTTCTTTGAAGTCGGAGTGTATATGCCTGAGAGGCAAGGAACCAACAGTGTACACACAGAAATAATAAAGAACTGTAAAACAGGTGCGCACGTGGGACTCAGGTTCTGGAACAAGACTAAAGTCTAGAGGTGGATGAACAACCAGAACTTTCTGCTGGAGCCCACAGCTGGTGATTGTGAAGGAGAAGAAGAAGAAGAAGAAGAAGAAGAAGAAGAAGAGGAAGGAGGAGGAGGGGGAGGAGGAGGAGAAAAAGAAGAAGAAGAAGAACCCAAGAACAGAAGGCAAGCATGTAGTTGTCTTATAATTCTTGTTTGCTAAAATTTAGCACTTTCAAACACTTCACATGTATTGTTATAGTGCAATTCAATTTCACTTTGAAACTACTTCACATGTGTAACTTATTTTATCATTCTTGAAAATATGTAGCACTTTTAAACAAGAGACTTTACATGGATGAGTTATTTGATCATTATTGAAAATATTCAGCACCATAAACAGCAAACCTCACAGGTATGAAATTTTATAGTTCAAGTTGCAGATGTGTAGCACTTTTAAAACGCGGACGTCTCTTGTATGAGTTAAATTGCAAATCCTATTGCTAATAGTAATAATAATTAGCACTTTAAAACAACAGAACTTCACAGATAGGAGTTTTTGTATATTTCTTGTTGCAGACGTATAGCACTTTTAAACAGCAGACTTCTCTTGTATGTGTCAAATTGCCAGTCTTCACTTTAAACCAGCAGACTTCACATTGTTTCTGTTTCTGTTTGGCACTTTGAAACAGCAAACTTCACAAATATATGTTATTCTGCATTTCTTGTGAAGATATAGTTGTTACTGGATTTTGGCATCGAAAACCAACCACCTCTCCATCGGAGAGGTTCTCTGGTTCAAGATTGACGTTCGGCGGCACAAAATCGTTGGACCATAAGTCTTCCCACCCGGCCCAGGGCGTTCTGTTGTCTGGTTCGAGATCCGGGGACTGTGTGGGTATGGAATGTGGATTTGCACTTTCGGGTAGCTGCTGTCTTGGGGATGCTGCTGTTGGGGAAAAAAGAAAAGAGTAATACTGTATTAAGTTTCAGCTACTTCAGTATGGACTAGATATAATTCAAACAACGAACACTTGGATAATTCATCTTTGATTCTTCAAGCACACAAGAAAAAAGATTGAAGACTGGCATGACTGCACTACCAAGAAAATCCGGGAGTTCCCGGGAGAGTCCAATATGGGTTGGGGTTAGTCGGTGTCTATGAGGCGGTCTGGGCTGACAAAAATGACTTTCATTTTCTTGCCAGGGCAAGCAGACGTTCTCTTGTTAATGTCCCTTCAGTGTTCATTTCAAACCAAAACACCCCTAGAATATTGGACTTTTCCGTGAACTCCCGGATTTCCTTTGTTTGGGGTGAATTCAAAATTAAATACCTCTTCTTTTGTTAGTCCCTGCCGTGTAGCGTTGGTAGTGCAGTCATGCCAGTCTTCAATCTTTTTTCTTGTGTACTTATAAGAGCTGACATCAAGCAATGCTTATATCCACTATATCAGGGCTTTTTAACTGGAGGCCCGGGGATGAATTCGGCCCGCAGAGCCCTAGCAAGTGACCTGCTGATCACTGCCAGTTGTATTGTAATGATGATCTTTCTACGCTGGATCTCTGGACCGAAAAGATCCCCATTTTCAACATTTTAGTCTCTGAGTTAGTTTAGTTTCTGCACGACATGATAATTAGCAATTAGAAAGACAAAGTCACTGAATCCTTAGCGCCCCCCCCCCCTCCGCTCTCCTTTTTCCAACCAAGAGGATTGCTGCCTGTAGGATTACCCATACATGAGTAATTCCCAAAAACCTTGTTCAGCAGTACTAGTTAGTTGGGTATCCTTTACAGGACATTGCAGAACCAACCCCAGCAATGTTTGGCTGTCGTAGGTTTTCTCGGTAAATTTTACATTCACTAGTTTGCCATTGCTCTCTGTCGGTTAGCTCTCTTCGACTAATTGGGAGAGCTTCCTTCGAAGTCGGAGTACATCTGCCGGAGAGGCAAGGAACCAACAGTCTGTATTGAAGAGAATTAGAGCTGTAAAACTGATGCGCACGCAACACTCAGGTTCTGGAGCAGGACTGCAGTTTAGTAGTGGACGAACAACCAGAACTTTCCGCCAGAGTGTACAGCTGGTGAACGCGAAGAAGAAGAAGAAGAAGATATCGCATGCAGACCAATATTAGGGTTGAGAGATGCTAGAAAAAGTCACACGCTTCTTCTGTCCTGGATAGTTATGAATGATGATTGAAGTGTGCTAGCCAGTACCAGGTTCACGCATGGGTCCAATGGGCACGTGTCCGGGGGCCCCCAGGAGCATAGACGCCCCATGCTAATCACTGTGTGTCAAGTGACAGTTTACAGTATATTCCTGTGAGTGGTTGTTGTGGGGGCCCCAGCACAATGTTTGCCCATGGGTCCATAATGCTGTTATGACGACTCTAGTGATAGCTAGTGAATTAGCACGACTACCGTCTGTATAGTATTATAATAATCATCACCATGATGTGCCATTTATAAGTAACACAAGACTCGTAATCAACTCTTTAATTCCACTCTGTTGGGGGCAATTATTTCACTATGGGGGGGGGGGGGGGGGGGGGGGGTGAATCGAGCTCCAGCGCCGCTGGCCTCTCTGGCAAACGTTCGTCGTGGTTTTTCTCTTGGACGTCGTCTTTTCCTCCATCCATCTGATTCCCATTTCAGTTCCTGTTTGGTGATTCTTTTTTCTCACCTTTCTCGAATCCCCTCCATTGAAAGAGAGAGAGAGAGAGAGAGAGAGAGAGAGAGAGAGAGAGAGAGAGAGAGAGAGAGAGAGAGAGGTGACTGAGTGAATGAGTCACAGACACATATATATTTACACACACACATATACATATATATCGAGAGAGAGAGAGAGAGAGAGAGAGAGAGAGAGAGAGAGAGAGAGAGAGAGAGCTATAGAGAGAGAGTATGTACATATGGTACAATTTGATGAAATGCATCTGTTTCTTTGTCTTCCCTTTATGGAGAGTTTCATTTATTTAATGCACAAAGTAGTCGGTGCTTATACTTCGTTCTAATAACAAACAAGAATCAATACAATCTGATCTACCTTAATGATGAGTTAAAGGAGTTGCTTTAACTATGTCTGTGAGTAGTGTGACCATAATATATTGGCTGAAAACGGGACCTCCCAAGCAAGTCAGTTTAATCATCCCCCCCCCCCCTTTCCCACCCCATCCGTTTTTATAGGTCACCAAAGTGAAAGAGTTTGTTATTTGCTCGACAGTTGTATTAAAACCGAACCATTGTCGCCCCCCCCCCCCTCCCCCCCCCCCCCCCCCCCCCCCAAAAAAAAAAACCCCACTAGACAATATGCTCTTTAAATGCACTGGGAAAAAAAATACTGCACACGCTACAATGAAAAAAGGATTACATCTAATAAGGTTTACAGATATAACTAAAAGTGTATGTTCCATTCTCAAGCCAATTCCTAGATTTGCATAAAACCGGACAATTAACGTTGTATCAAAGTACCGACGGGTCGACCCAGACACAATTAAAAACTAGGAATGTCGCAGCGAAAAGGAGACTTTTGACTTACTTTGCATTAAAAAAAAAAAAACTCGACACGTACAAGACATGAAGTGCATCCATGAAGGGGGAGCTTAGGTTATAATTGTGACTAGGTTTTGTGCACCATATAAAATGGCTTAACATTGTACGCTGCCAGGAGCCATGAAAAGGACTCCTGCAGGGTTGATGCAATCAAATGAGACAGACCCAAATACTGTTCCGACCGGCGATGAAGTCGTCTACCGGCCAGTCAATGGGTGACCCGGTCGCCGATGTTGAAAACGGGACGTATGTTCACTCCATTTATGAAGAAAACCACGACAACTTCACGTTGTCTTTTCCGGCCCTGAATTCTCCAGACTCCAGAAGTGCGTGCCTTACCTCTGTTCACTATTGGCAGTGGATATCCACCAGGCGGCGCCACAACTCGCGACGTCAGAGAGCTCGGGGTCTCATTGATGTTGTCACCATGGCTTCCTTTGGGCGATGTCTTAGTTCTTTCTTTTCTGACCCACGATCGTACTTCAGTTGGTTGGGCTCCGGCCTCCATGGAATTATTTTCGACAAAGTTATTTTGCGCGCAGATGTTGGCATCGTACTTTGAGACATCATTGACAGAGTTTACGGCATCTTCTGAGAGATAAGAAATAGGAAAACAGAAAGAAAAACAATATTATATTAAAAAAAAAAAAACATAACAACAGTGGAGTTGCATCATTTTACTAATATACCATGAATAAAATAAGTCCAGGCAAGAGGAATTACTTAGCTTCTCAGTAAAACTCAAATCGCACTGGGATCATAGGTGCCGTAACCTGGCGCTCAGATCTTTTGAACCCGCCCCCCCCCCCCCCCCCCCCTTCCCAAATAATTTTGTAAGGAGCTTAAGAGGTCCCCTTTAACCATTTATAGAAATTATCTTTACAAGTATTTATTTACATGTATCATATTATATCATATATATATATATATATTAGGGCTGTACCGAATATTCGCTTGGTATTTGCTTCGCGGCCGAATAGTGGACTTATTGAATATTCGGTATTCGGCTGAATAGTTGCGGTCGGGCCGAATACGAATAGTAGTTACCTTACATCCGCTTTTGCATACACGGCCTTAATGCTGACAACATGGAACGATTGGTTTTGTTGAAAGCTAATGCAGCTTTCCTGCATTAACTAAGCTGTTGGTGATAATTTACAAGTTTAGTTATTTGTTATAATATTACGGATTTTTTCATTCCTAGTTTTTAGTTACCACAGACTGACTAAAGATGCAGAACATAAAATGTTTTTAAATGTTTACTATTCTGTACGAATACTAACTAGACATGGGAAGAATTTAAACTCCGGCCATATCCAAGTCGATAATATGAAAATTAAACGAACGGAAAATTATAAGTACTTGGGTGCAAACTTCAACTGCTCCAACATGCTGAGAGAAGAAATACAATCTAGAACACAATCTAGAAATTAAGTATACAATGCCCTTAAACATTTGCTAAAGTCCAATTGTCTGTCTCGCAACACCAAGATCAAAATATATAAAACGTTGATAAGACCAATCGCTTTATATGGCTCTGAAACCTGCAGCAGAAATAAAAGAGATGAGGCCTTATTACAGGTTTTCGAAAACAGTCTTACGACAAATCTTCGGACCCATCAAAGATGCTAACATCGGGGAATGGAGAGTGAGAAGCAACAACATAACACATAATCTGTTTAAATCACCATTGATCACTTGGAATCATGAGCGCCTACAGACTAAAATGGTTGGGGCATATTGAAAGAATGTCAGATGACAGAGAAGTAAACACTGTATAACACTAGGAGATAAATGGTCGTAGACCACGAAGCAGACATAAAAGAAGTTCGAGAGATAATGTCCTGCAAACAACTGGTGTCACAAATTGCGAAGAGAAGGCCAGCCAGAGAGATGAATGCAGCAGTAAACCTCAAGAGCACAGAATGCTAAAGAAGAAGATGACTATTCAGTGCTATTTTATGTGAAGTAAAAGTTCAGCGTACATTTGACATTATGAATGTGTGCTGTGTGTGTGTGTGTGTGTGTGTTTTTTTTTTTTTTTTAACGATATATTTTATACACTATTCGTATTCGTATTCGGCCGAATAGTGAAAATCACTATTCGGTACAGCCCTAATATATATACACAACACATGTGTGTGTGTATATATATATATATATATATATATATATAAGCTCGAGTGTGTGTGTGTGTTTATGTGTGTATGTTGTGTGTGTGTTAATTTCCATTCAGTAATTAATTGCGCAATGATAATAACAATAATAAATGTTACTATTAATAATATTAATATTTGCGCAATTAAACAAAGCTCGAGCCTGTCACCTGAACCAAAAAAAAAAAAAAAAAATTTAAGGCATGGCGTTGAGCACCCCCCCCCCCCCCCCCCCCACTTTTTCCCCTTTCCTTTTCCCAATGTATTCTCTGTGGCGGCACGCCTAGCTAGGATGGTGCTGAGAAAGTTGAAAGGTTTTATTTAGGAATAAGTATAATCAAGTCAAGAAAACTGACCCTCCAACATCCAAGTAAATGTGACAAACCTCAAGCAAGTTGATATGTTGAAGTATTCGGGCACCCTGACAACACCAGGTGAGAGATGTATTAAAGAAGTTCAATGTAGAATAACTCAAGTTTTTAGCCGTCCTCATGTGGGATGCAATTGTTTGTCACTTGAAGCCCCACCCTGGCTTTTGCCGGGGGCCCTGAAAAAACACCAGGCCACAAATATGGCCTAACGGCTGAAAGGGGTTTCTAGTACCTCTCCACGGGTTATCCTCATCCGCGTGGTGGCACTTTGTGTCATCGGGTGTTTGTCACTTGTGTGATGTCCTGGTGGGGTATAGCAAGGGAGGGAGGGGAATAGCTCAAGCAAAGGCAGCATTTTACAAAATGAAGAATGTTTCATGCAGTCTTTCTTAGTCAACTGAGACGAGACACATAATCTTTCAGTCATATAAATGCTAAATTGATATATGGATGTAAATCATGAAGAGTTAGTAAATAAGTGAAAACTTATTTGGAAGCTGCAGAGATGTGGTTTTATGGGCGAATGATGAGAACATTCTGGACAGATAAAAAGATGTCTTGAAAGAAACTGACTCACGAAGTGAACTGATTGTCCACATCAAAAATAGACAACCTACATTCTTTGGTCATGTGATGAGAAGGAGAAAACTGGAGTACATCATGACTGTAGGAAAGTTGGAGGGGAGGAGAGGCAGAGAAAGACCCCCCCCCCCCCCCCCCCCCCCCCCCCCCCCCCCCCCCCCCAAAAAAAAAAAAAAAAGATGCTGGACAGTCTGACATCATGGCATAGAGGGTCATCTGTGCCAGAGTTGACTGAAAGTACACGAAACAGAAGGTTGTAGAAAGACATGGCTACCAACACCACACAGCATGGACTATGGAAGATCATCTGTGTCAGAGTTGACTGAAAGTACACGAAACAGAAGGTTGTAGAAAGACATGACTGCTAACGCCACACAGCATGGACTATGGAAGATCATCTGTGCCAGAGTTGACTGAAAGTACACGAAACAGAAGGTTGTAGAAAGACATGACTGCCAACGCCACACAGCATGGACTATGGAAGATCATCTGTGCCAGAGTTGACTGAAAGTACACGAAACAGAAGGTTGTAGAAAGACATGACCGCCAACACCACACAGCATGGACCTTATGAAGAAAAAGCTAATCAAGTCGCGTTAGAGCAATGACCTTTAACTCGACTGTCAGACCCGAACGTCAGCGGCTTCCCCCCTACGAAATACGTTTGGCCAAATCAAAGGGAAACAACACAAACTGGAAACACTACGTAAGACTAGGGAAGACATGCACAAGTAACAACAGGGTAGAGGACGAGCGGTCTGATTCGGAAGCATCAAGCTCAGAAATGGCGTAAACACTAGAATTCAGTCACAAAAGTGACGCAAATAACCCAGACCACAAATAGAGGCGGAGACTGACTGACTGACTGACTGACTTTCTACCGCACCAGGACATCACACAAGCGATAAATACCCGACGACGCAAAGTGCCACCATGTGGATGAGGATCGCCGTGGAGAGGTCCCAGAAACCGCGTTCAGACAATTGACCATATTTATGGCCTGCCTATATTGCGGCCCCTGGCGAAAGCCAGGGTAGGGCTTCAAATAACAAAAAATTTCATCCTAAAAAGGACGAAACGGGATAGACTTATCACTAAGGTGGAGAGTGCTAGCAGCGTCGGCTAGCTAGCAGCAGCCAGAAAGTGGTCGAGCTTTTCATTTTTTTTCTCAAAAGGACTTGGACTTGGACGTCAACGGCTTAAATCCATACTGAAGCAGATTTTGTTTACAAAGTTAGCCTTGGCTCCCAGGTCGACCCAGCCGAAAATAGGTACAATGTCATGGGAAATAAAAAGTTGAGTGGTTACAACGTCGGGAAATAAAAAGAAGAGTGGTTACAACGTCGGACTCTCATGCGTGAGACCTGGTTCGACTCCCGTTAAGGTGATGGGAGTTTTTCTGTCGGGCAAAACTAAACACCCGTTTCAAATCGTTTCACAGCACTAGCATGCAACCCTAAATCCCCAGGATCACGACCCCCTGTCTACACCGCCCTAAAAAGGTGAGAAAAGAAAAACATAATTTGGAGGTGCCCGGTTGGATTTTCGGAATGCTAACTATAGCTTGCTACGTTGTTTAGTGTGTGTCCTTCTATCTTTCTACTTCTTTAAAAGAGTGCCAATAAATAACTTATATATATATATATGTGTATGTGTGTGTGTGTATAAAACAAATGTATATACAGTATATACTGAAATATACAAAACTTAAAGTAACAACTGTTAGTTCCAGGACCCCCCCCCCCCCCCCCCCCAAAAAAAAAAAAAAAAAAAAAAAAAAAAAAAAAAGAACTGCCCTATTGTCCCTTAACAATCGTGTCGCAAAAGGCGACTGAGATGCTTACTGAAATTTGATGTGCTGAAACCACAACACAGGCTGACTGACGTTCAACCACACCAGGTCATCACACCGAACGACAAACACGCAGTGACACAAAGTGCCACCATTCGGATGAGGATCACCAAGGGACAGATCCCAGAAACCCTGTTCAACCTATAGGCTGGGTTATATTAGGGACCCCGGCAACATCCACGGTGGGGCTCTAAAATAAGACAAATTGCATCCTATTTTGGGACGGCAAATTACATCAACCACAATACAACGTGCCGCCTACCTTTTAGGGAATAAAGCCCAAGTTTTAAAGTGTCATAAATACCTCATCAAACTACTGGATGTAAATTGCCTAGAGAAACCACACAACAGCCAGTGGCTGTTAGGGTTGGTTCTGCAACGTCCTGTAAAGGATACGCAACTAACTAACTAACTAACTAACTAAATACCTCATAGTTTGGCCAAAGCTTTCCCCAGATATCTGGACAAACCTTTAATTTGGCGTGTGAATCGGCGAAACGTGAACGCCCGCGTTTATTTGCTTAAGACATGGTGATGATGATGATTGTTCAAAAGGGAAGTCAGACATCTGATTACCCGCCATTTTCACAGTTTCTCCAGCGCCTTTCACAGTAACCTCGTGAATGACCTTGAAGCCATGAAAGCTGTCTGGCAATCACCTGTTCTACAGACGACCCAATTGCTGTCCGGTCTCTCACCTGCCCTCAAGCGTCCTCACAAGTTCAATTACGACGTCTGCTGGGGATCAATGGGATTCGGACAGACTGACCTCATCTCGTTACGTATCGTGTCACGCGTGTAATCTCCGGATTAGGTGGTCGTAGTTTTCATGACTACCAACGCCACACGGCATGGACTTTAAGAAGAAGTTTTCAATGAGGGATATGCTACTGGATCAGTGTGTAGACGACATGGCTGACTTGACCCTAAGTCTTAAACACGCCACTTGAGGTCCAAGTATTTTGTAGCCAGAAGAGGTTACCTGGAACTGCGTTGTGTGTGTACATGACTTCTTCTTGTTCGCTATGGCTGTGCTTGACGAACTGACCTACTTTCTGTTGCCAAGGACATCCTTGTTTCGTGTCTGCTGGCTTTGCTCGTTGAAATGTTGTTTCTTGTGTGCATTGTAACGCGGTCAGTCATGATTGGATCTCTTGTTCCTGATAGCTCGGTTGTGGCACGCGTTTAACATTAGTTACCTCAGGAAATTTACCTACAACAACCGGTGACAACACCCTTTAGCAAAAAAGGTTAACTTTAGCCAGAAAGCGTAGCGTAATACACCTGCCTCTCCGCAGCGGCAAGTTCTAAGACAGCACAGGTAGTAGCATAACACTTCTTGTTGGTTCAAAAAAAAAAAAAAAACCAACACAGAATGGACAACCCCATCCCCATCCCCCCCTCCAGCAAGCATGTCATAGGAGGCGACTAATTAGGGATGTTTTCTTTAAAGTGGGAGTGCTGCTGTGTGAGACAATAGTCTGTTATACAAATAAGGCAGATCTGTAAAACGGATGTGCATGCAAAACTCAGTATATGTATCAAGACCAAAGTCCAGTAGGGGAGGAACAGCCAGAATTTGCAGCCGGAGTTGACAGCCGGTGAACGTCAAGAAGAAGAAGAAGAATGTTCGGTAGTGGATAGACCGCCAGAAACTGGCAGCCACGATCAAGTGCCACTGTTCAAGCCAATCCTACTATACGGAAGTGAATCATGAGCAATCAGTATATCAGTGAGGCTGCAGATGTGCGATTTATAGGGAATGATAAGACCATCATAGATACAACATCGAATCTGCACGAAAACCTTTTTTTCCAAGATTGATCTTGGCTCCCATGTTAACCCAGTCTAAAATAGACACCAGGTAATGTCATGGGAAGTAAAGACGACCGGTGTGGTAATGACCCTGTCACCCGCCGAGGGCAGATTAGTTTATAAAAATATTTTGTAATCTCAGGGTGTCAATCCTTGAGATAGCAGGTCGGAGAGGGAGAAAACAGCACAGCACGGACAAACTAGTTACTAGCTTCAAAACACAGACAGTCCCCGGTTTTTGTGTGTGTGAATAGTCATAAGTAAGGGGAAGCATGGGTGCTTCATGGCAGTAGGAACATCATGCCATTAGAGCTGAAGTGACAACCCCCCCCCCCCCCCCCCCCCCCACCCCCCACAACCACAGAAGGCGAGGGGGTAAGGGTGAACATATTAACTGTTTGGTATCACAAACAGGGTATGCCGGTGTGCTGGGAAATAAGCAGGCAGATAGACTGGCTGGCTCTGCACCACTTGGTGGTGAATTGATGTATGATAAGCTAGACATTGTGAGGGTCCTTTGGAAACGAATGAACAGTGAGGAAGCACGGACAGATCAATACGGTCTGAGGAGAATGACGCTGCGAGAAGTTACCAGGGAATGTGACCGACGCGCAACGCTCAAGGAAAGGATGAGACGGATTTACAAGCAAATTGTTGCTGGTGCCATCGGATTGGAACTCTTCGCTTGCTGCTGAAGATGGAAACGGACCGCTTATGGGAGTGTCCCGAGTTCTGTGATGTCGATTCGTAATTCAATAATCAACATTTGTTTGGTATCAAGACAGGAAGAAACGTCTACAGCATAATTTTCTGGCAGTATCCGAAACAGAGTTATCAGAACTGATCTGCGGCATAAACGACAGAAAACAGTTATTGTAGTTACCCATCATTCGTGGCCGCAGTGGGGTTCATCTGGGAAAGGATTCGACATGAAATCACAGCATTCAACAACAGCTTATATAAGTTCTGTCTCCCTCCTTAACAGCCAATGAATAGTCTCCATACGACGATACTTGTTGTCTTATGGTTAACTACTCGTCTTGCCTTTCCCGCTGTGATGTCCTATCTTCTATTTCACTTGTTACCTCGTCCTACAGGCGAGAGATCACCTCTGCCTTATGCATCTGTGTTACACACCCAAGTGGGGATAGTCCAGCCAATACACGCATTTGGCTGCAAGTTACGCCAGTCTAAAAGGATGTCGCGGTTATAACTGTTTTTTTTTTTCGGGAGGTTGAACGGCGTGTGTGAGGTTTAACCTGTCGACCCGCCTCCAGACTAAAACTTTGTAATCTCACGATGATCAAACTTTCAGATACCAGCCTGTGGAAAAAAGAGGGGCAGGGGGAGGCGGAGAAGCACTGGAAGAACTAGCAGTGCATAAGACGGAAAACTGTGGAAAGATACGATGACCAGCCACACTAAGCACATACATCTGCGACACGGGCTGCTCACTGGCTCGCCGGTATACGACTTCGTCAGCGGTCTCCTTTAATCACATCAACCTTGCAGCATGAGTCATGGCTCTCGTGCAGTGCTAAGCCATTTTATATGGCGCACATAACATAGTCACAATTATAACCTAAAGCCCTTCGGAGATGCGTCAACACAAAGTCCGTCAACAAAGGTAAAACTCGTCCCCTGTACGGAGTTCATGCTGGCACACCCGGCAGCGGAAACAATCCAGATGATAGACGTTATCGTGTGCCCGGCGCACCAAGTCAGTCGGAGCCATGGCCTCTGTGCAGGAAGAGCATCCCGCGCCATATAATCTACCAGTAGGAGAAAAGATATTGTATCATGTTAACTTTGGTGAAATAGTTATATTCGCGATCTGGTAATCTGGTAATCCTAGTTTCAGTTTCATAGCAAACGGGTCACCCCATAGTTGCTCCGCCCCTGTGCCAACGAAGAACACACGTAGCTCACAGTGTCACGCCATGCACTATATTCGCGATGTCATTATCATAACAGTACCTCCGAAAAGATGGAGTGATGACATAAGAACTGCCTTACAGAAATCAACATCAGTCTTAATAATAGTGCTCCCAACAGAGCTCATCAACGAATGTTACATCTTCCCCTGACACTTCGCTGAGGTACAAAGTGGAAGAGAAGAAGAAGAACAAGAAAAAGAAGGAGACGGAGAAGAAGATCATAACAGTCATCGTCATCTCCACCTCTACAAGAATTAACACTATCATCGTCATTAATGACATTTTAAATCCTTCAAGGTAACATACCCTCTTTAGACGACAATAATTTTCTCAAACTGTTGAAAATAGTTTTGGCTATTCCTTTTTTTTTTTTTTTTCACAAACGACATCAGCATCTGTTATTTCAGGATCATGTTAGGAGAAACTTCTTATTTGTTCTAGTATAGCTCAGTTTATCACTACATGATACAACAACAACAACAATAATTATTATTATATAGTCGACTTAGTCGACCATCTTCTTCCATGGGGTGTAGAGTTTTGCCAGAAGAATCACCAGACTGCTCTATCAACAATTTATTTTTTTGAACGTTCCCTTCCAGTCCTCTGTTGCACTGATGCTTTCCCAGCGGACCCTGGGTCGTCCTGGAGGTCTGGTTCCCTAGTTCCCGGCCTCCTATGCCTGCCATGCTGGACGTTCCTTTTCCATTCTGCATACATGTCCAAACCATCGTAACTGTGACTGATCGACTCAAGTGTGTAAGGTGTGGGTTTTAAGATCATGATGTTTTGTCTAGTTGCAGACTGTCCTTTCTCGTCATTTGGAACACTTTTCTCAGAGACCTAATTTCCGAGGAATGAAGTTGGCTTCTGTAGCTGTTGTTACCGCCCATGTCTGCCACATGTAGGCCACCACTGGGCACTAGGTGGAGCTGTAGGCTATTACTTGTACTATTAGAGCTATTGTTGTCGTTGCTGCTGCTGCTGCCGCGATTACTACTACTACTACCACTACTACCACTACTACCACTACTAATTATTATTATTATTATTATTATTATTAGCACCAATTTGTCACCATCGCCATAGTCAGCATCAGTGGAAGGTCTGTTGAAAGACATGAACTCTAAATCCGTCTGGTAAGTCATGATTTGATAAAAATGTCAGGAACGAACTTAGAACTTCTAAGTCATAGTTGAAAACCCTAACCCGTCATATTGGCCCATCTATCACTGCCGCGTCCCTTAACGATATTATGGAACTATTTTAATCAGCGAGTCAGTGAGTGATTTCAATCCCATCAGAACATCATTACGAGCGATAAACACCCGGTGACACAAAGTGCCATCATTTGCATGAGAATCACCGAGGCGCAAGACCAAGAAACCCCGTAGAACTGTTAGGTTACTTTAGGACCCCCGACAAAAATCGGGGTAGTGGTTTAAAATAACATAATAAATTGCGTCATATAATGAGGCGGAATGATATCTTTTCCTATTTGTAGTGCCATACATGATGGTAGCAGTCAAACAAATCAGAAACAGAATATGAGCGGCTGAAACTATCTTCAATAGTATGTGAAAATTATTGAAAGCTAGAGAGATAAAAACACAGTAAAAATGAAAAGTGCCAAATAATATGTATACTCAACCGTACTGTATTGTACAGAAACGTGAAGAATGAACCAGCAGCCAGAAAATCGAATTGAGGGGGTTTAACCCCACCAGGACCGCACAAAGAGCGAATAACACGCGGTGACACCAAGTGCCACCATTCGGATGAGAATCCGTCCCTCAGGCGCATGTCACAGAAACCCCGTGCACCCGATAGGTTATATTATGGCCCCCGACGACAGCCGCGGTGGGACTTTATAATTAAAAAAAAAAAATGCGATTGAAAAGAGTTACTAAAAAAAATAAACAAGACAATTGAAATATTTTAGCCACATTAAAAGACATAACAATGTTAAAGAACTGACAAGCAGCATTGTGAGAGAGTGTACAACCAAGACAAGGGACAGAGCTGAATGGAGATAGATCCATCACAGTCAACCTTCATTGTCGAGACGGCAACGTATTGAATGATTGTCCTACTGATTCCCCTCCTTCTTCTTTGCCTTTAAAAGAGTGGCTGGTGTGTTGTATTGCTGTTTACAACTAAAATGCGACATATATGTCTGTCAACTGAACACATGCGATTTAAGCAAACTCTCAGTTAATTGTCTTTTACAGTCTGTTATGTTACGACACATTTATTACGGGGTATGGGTCTATCTCACCCCAGAACCCACAAGTGAATAATTTCATATCCAACAAAGGCGTGCACTGACCTGAAAAAGTCATCCTGGCAATATAACTGTGAGTTTCCGGAATAGCAGACGTGGGACAGCAGTATGTTACACACAGAGCAGCGCAGACAAGCTGCGTGCCAGACGTGTCCTTGGAGTTGTAAGATGAACTGGTCTAGAATCGGCTGTGAACAGCCTGCACAGCACGGAGGCCCTGATGGGAGACATGCCATTGTAAGCTATCATTAATTTGTCAAATACAAATAGTAATAGAGCAGTAATATTATCATTATTTCTATTTGAATTAAACTATAAGTAATTGAAAAAGAACCATACATTGAGAAAAACAACATGTTAATACACTTAAAAAAATCTGGAGTAAATAAAGTAATAATAAAAATCTCCTTCTTTGCGTTCACATAAAGTTTTGGTTGTTCGTACATTTCTTGACTTTGGTCATTCTAGAACAAGTTTTACATGCGCACCCGTTTTACGGATCTGGCTTATTTGTATGAAGACTGTTGGTATTTTATAATCCTCAGGTAGACGCACTGACTTTAAAGGAAACGTCTCTAACTAGTAGCATCCTGCGACATGCTTGTTAAGAGACAGTCAGTCTAACATTTGTTCTTAAAAAAAAAAAAAAAAAAACTCGGAACCCACACGTGGATAATTATAGTCATATTAGCAAGAAGATGTTACTTTAACTCATTCTTTCGCCCGGCTCGCTAGCGTAGTTGACTTAACCTGACTTCGCGACGACCGGGTGACGAACTCCTTGTGGTCCGGGGGTAGGCAGAGAAGCTAAATTTCTCCCAGATTTACGGTATCTATCATGGAATCAAGGCCGAAGGGTTGCGATATGCTTAGTACCAAGCCAAAGGGTTAACAACTCATGGTTTCTAGATATTTAAAAAAAACTCATTCTTTCCTAAAAGGATTTTAATTTAACCTATTCTTCTTATTTTTAAGGTTGAAGGTTTAATCAACGGATCAGTATCATGGTACAAGGGTAGTAACCCATAAAAGGTTAGCTGCGTTTCCTTTACATGACGTTGCAGAACCAACTCCATCAGCTCCTGGCTGTTGTGTGGTTTTTCTTGGCAAATTTACGTCAAGTAGTTTGCCATTGCATCTGGACGGTCGGCTTTCTTGACACCACTGTCGAAACCAACGCAAGGCGCATGGCCCGCAGCTGGGATCGAACCCGGCATATCGGCATTACGAAGTGTTCGCATCGACTTAGCCACAGAGCCGACAGTAATCCACAAATGCTCCGTTTTACTTCTAACTCAGCCTGAGTCCGAAGAATCTCAGCTCAGTGCACGAACTCCGTAGCACCGGCAAGGAGCCTGAAATACTTTGGGTAGACTTTTATCTCCATATTTTGTCCGGACAGCGCCGTTAGACTACTCTATTCGATTTCCAACTGCCAAAGGATGTTTTTTTTTATGTGCGCAACAATACACATAGACACCCGATCCTACTCCCTAGAGACCAGGGACAATTACTAGTAGTCCATGTGAAGAAATCCCAGCATTCATCGGGGCCTGTACCCGAAACCTCTAGCACTCGAGGCGGACGCCATGCCTGTAGACCACGCAGCCCCCTTCTTCTTTTTCTTTCCTTCTTCTTCTTTTTCCCCTCCTCTTTTATTTGTCCCTTAAAGAACGGTTGGCAGTTGTGCTATGCTTTACAGCTAGGTTGCAATATCTGAACTTTGCTGTCCAACAAATTCGATTCTAGCAAATCTTACATTCGCATTTGACGGCATGCTTTATTAAGGGGAAGTGGGTGGGTTTATTTTACACCCCCCCCCCTTCTCACACGAAATTGGTCCCAGGTAAAAACAGCACCACAAACAGATAACAATACGTAAAGTACAACAATATAAAACAGCACCACAAACAGATAACAATACGTAACGTAGAACAATATAAAACAGCACCACAAACAGATAACAATACGTAACGTACAACAATATAAAACAGCCCCACAAACAGATAACAATACGTAACGTAGAACAATATAAAACAGCACCACAAACAGATAACAATACGTAACGTACAACAATATAAAACAGCACCACAAACAGATAACAATACGTAACGTAGAACAATATAAAACAGCACCACAAACAGATAACAATACGTAACGTACAACAATATAAAACAGCCCCACAAACAGATAACAATACGTAACGTACAACAATATAAAACAGCACCATAAACAGATAACAATACGTAACGTACAACAATATAAAACAGCACCACAAACAGATAACAATACGTAACGTACAACAATATAAAACAGCACCACAAACAGATAACAATACGTAACGTACAACAATATAAAACAGCCCTACAAACAGATAACAATACGTAACGTACAACAATATAAAACAGCACCATAAACAGATAACAATACGTAACGTACAACAATATAAAACAGCACCACAAACAGATAACAATACGTAACGTAGAACAATATAAAACAGCACCATAAACAGATAACAATACGTAACGTACAACAATATAAAACAGCACCATAAACAGATAACAATACGTAACGTACAACAATATAAAACAGCACCATAAACAGATAACAATACGTAACGTAGAACAATATAAAACAGCACCATAAACAGATAACAATACGTAACGTACAACAATATAAAACAGCCCCACAAACAGATAACAATACGTAACGTACAACAATATAAAACAGCACCATAAACAGATAACAATACGTAACGTAGAACAATATAAAACAGCCCCACAAACAGATAACAATACGTAACGTACAACAATATAAAACAGCCCCACAAACAGATAACAATACGTAACGTAGAACAATATAAAACAGCACCACAAACAGATAACAATACGTAACGTACAACAATATAAAACAGCACCACAAACAGATAACAATACGTAATGTAGAACAAAATAAAACAGCACCATAAACAGATAACAATACGTAACGTAGAACAATATAAAACAGCACCACAAACAGATAACAATAAGTAACGTAGAACAATATAAAACAGCAGTACCTGCCGCGTTGGTATGCATGCTGTCAATATAGCTGGAATCTGCAGGCAGATCCGGTGACGACGACACAGAAGGCATTGAATCTGTGAAAGACGGGGTATTTGATACCTGGCTAGTGTAGTCTGCACCTGTCATCATTGTTGAACTTTGACCTGTGATTAAGACAGTTACAAACGTAATCATAATAATCATTATCGTGTGCCCTGCGAGACGACGCAGGCTCTCGTGTCTAGCCGTAAATCTCGGTTCTCGGCATTCTGAATCAATTTCACTGATGATTTTCCTCTATGCCATCGCTTCAGGCCGCCAAGCATCGTTAATCTTGATCTGCCTCTGCCTCTTCTACAATTCACCTTTCCAATCAACACAATGCTCTCCAGTGCTTCTTTTCTCATGACATAGCCTAAGAACATTGCCTCTTTCGCAAAACGTATATTGCTTTCTAATTTCATTAGCCATTTCCGGGCATTCCTTGTCCAAAAAGTTTCTCATTTTCTTTAATTAAAATTATTATGATGCAACCCGTTATTTTGTTCTGCTAAATAAAACACCGATGACATACGCAGGATTTCATATGATTTAGCAAATATAGTATCAAGGGTTGGACTACAAATAAGCTATGACAAGACAAATATATTGAAGATACCAGCAACAAATTAAGCAGATATAACACTAGAGACAAAAGTAATAGAACTATTTAACAAAATATGGTGAGGGGAAACAATGAAAGAAAGGAATAATTGTGAAAATCCCCCAAAAAGGTAATCTTAACGAGTGCAGTAATTGGAGAGAAATTACCTAATTATCTCTTATGTCAACACTCTTTTGCAAAGTAATCTTCAAAAGAATTAAAGAGGCAGTTGATCTAATTACGAGAAAAGAATTAAGCTGGTTTTAGAACTGGAAGAAGTTGTCTGGATAAAATAAATATCTTCAGACTTATTCTACAGGAACACACTGAGAAGCACAGCAACAACCTCTAATTCTGAATTTTTACTGATTTCAAGAAGGCGTTTGAAAGCTTATACATTATTTCACTATAGGGAAATTTTGAATGTTACGATATGCCAGTCAATACGCATTATCAGAAATGTATACGATGGTTCAGAGTGTTCAGTGAGCACTGAAAATTGTCTAAGTGACTTGTGTTTGGTGTGAACTGGAGTGTTGTTTGGAATATCCATTGTTTGGGTAATGGAAAAAAAAAAATGTTGCAAACACAATGCTGTCATTGACTGGGTAGAGAACAAACAACTTGACCATCTGGATTACGCAGATGATATTGTCCTGTTAAGTAAGAATAACAAAGACATGCCAAAAAAAAAAAAAAAAAAAAAAAAAATGATTTGTCGTCTACAGTATCAAAAATAGGACTACAATTAAGTCATGAGAAAACAAATATATGAAAGGTACCAACAACAGATCATGTAGATATCATGCTAGAGAACAAACCAATAAAAGTAAGACAATTTCACCTATTTGGGTAGCAATTTTGACTCTCATGGGGATATAGCGAAGGAAATTATGATATGCATTGGCAAAGCAACAAGTCTTTAAAAGCCTTAACAGGATAGTGAGCTTCAAGTTAGACAGCTTTAAGACCAAATTACAAATATTCACTTCTAAAGTTATTTAAATTCTTACATGTGCCGGCGAAAGTTGGGGAACCACAAAAGGTATGGAACTGAAGTTAAATAAATTTGAAAATTAATGTCTGAAAAAAAAAAATCATGAATATAAAACAAGATGAGTGAAATAAGAGTGAGGAGACAGAGAAATATCTGGAAAAATAACTGTATCGGCGGCAATAAAACAAAGAATGTTGGGATGTATTGGGCGCACTCTGAGACGAAATAAGCCAAAAAAAAAAAAAAAAAAAAAAAAAACAGGCACTTAACTGGGAAACAAACGGTCTGAGAATAATAGGAAGTCTAAGGAAGATATTAAGAAGAACGTTATTACGTAAAGTAAAAAGTAAAGTAAAGGACCCTTTCCACGCCTTTAGGCGTATAGGGCATATAGGGCTAGACCTATATTTTTATAGACCAACGGCACAAGATGGGTGATGTGGTCAGCATCACGCCGGCCGCCTCTACTTCCCGGGATTGCACCCGGTACCCACTCAAGGCTGGGTCGACCTGGGAGCCAAGGTCATTTTTTGAAGAAAAGTCCGTCTCCACCAGGGAGCGAACCCACGACCTTCCGATCCGCGGCGCGCGTCTAGCCGCTCTGCCACGGCGACTCCCACGTTATTACGAGAGGCACACAAATGCTCTGCTGAAATTCATGTCAGAAATCGAGTAAGTTACATGTAATGTAGTGGAGTAGACAAATCGAATGCGAGAACTATCTGACGCCTAACTGCTCACAATGGATGATGATGACGACGGAGAAAGAAATAAGAATAAGACAGGCAATCTTTTTCTTCTTAGTCTGGTTCTTCACTTGATTGTGTAATGTTTGGAGTGTCGAGGGAGATACAAGGTATCATATATTTTGTCAACATAAACAGTGGCACCGTGGAAAGGAGAAGCATAACCATGTATTATTCCCAAAGACAACAGTGTATCCAACTGCCATTGTGCAGACGGCACATAATTGTTAGTGTCGCTATTTTTGAGGAAACTCAAATTGTTCTCAGGATAATTTCTTAGTTTTTAGTTTCAGTTCTATTTTGTATTGGAAAGGGGGGGAGGGGGGGGGGGGGGGGGGGGGTGTTCCAAAAAATGTAATTATGTCGGCGATCCTTTATTGCCTCATATTTTGAACAGACCAACTGACACTCGATAGGTAGTACTGTACTTCATGGCTCGTCTTTACTTCCCAGAATATTTCACATTTTAGCTTAATTTGCAAGGGAGTCCGGACTGATTTTCAAACAATTCCAGTTTCGACGGGGATACAAACTCATAACAACCGAGCTTGCAGGCCAGCGTGCTAGCCCTTGACCTGGTGGCTCGCTCAGCCTTCCAGGGATTAAAGTCTTTAGGATTACCATCTCAAAGAAGAGAATCAAACAGGTAAAAATCACGGAAACCGCGTTCAACCGTATTTGAGCTAAAATAAAAAAAAGTTCAAAGTTACTGTTAGTTCTTCTTCTTCGTCTTCTTCGCGTTTACCAGCTGTACTCTCTGGTGGAAAGTTACGGTTGATCGTCCCTTCTAGACTGCAGTCCTGTTCCAGAACCTGAGTGTTGCGTGTGCATCCGTTTTACAGATCTGACTCATTTGTATGCAGACTGCTGGTTCTTGCATCTCAGACAGATGCACTCCGACTCTGAAGGAAGCCCCCAATTAGTCGACTCTTACGACATGCTTTTCGGCAGGCAGTGGGTCTATTTCCCCCCCCCCCCCACCTTACCATAACAGGGCCCCGGAACATACACGGGGGAACCGTTAGTTAAATATTGGTTTGTTAGTGATCGAGTTGTCACATTTATTTCGTAATCAGCAAGTTGCACCCTTTTTCAGACTTAGAATGAAGCCTACAAATTTTTGTTTTTAAATGATTAATAAAACCGTACTCACCATTGTATTAAATGAAATAATGTACGAAAACAATCCAGTGGAAACAAGTGCTGAATCGGAGAGTTCAATTTTCCAACAACCGCATTTAACAGTTACCTTGGAAGTTAGTAGCATACCTTTTTTTAGAACTTCACTTCCAACTTCTTCATGTTTAGTAAACGCAAAATAAAACCGTATACGTACAAATACACTATTGTCTGTAGTAGTATTATTTAACGATCAAATAGGCGCGTGGGCTTTGGCGATAAGAATGGTCGAAACTGATCGACCACCAGTTGTTATCTGTCCGGCAGGGGCGGAGCCTTGTCCTGGGTGGAGAAGGCTGGACTTAACACCAAGAGCCAATCAACGATAGTGTTTGTCATTCTTCTTGGGACAGCTTCCAGTAACAATGTGGTATAAACTTGTCTTAGTCGCGGCGCCACCCTTTTGCTGGGGGCCAAAAAAAAAAATGGCCAAATTCCCACGGTGCCTCATGGTGGTATTTGTGTCAGTAAAAGTCCTAGTGGGGTACGACTGTTCGAAACGTTAGAGATTTTTTCAAAAAAAACACGGTGCCTCAAAAAAAAGGACTTGTCATCATTATCATCTTGTGCCGTGTCTACAGGCGGAGGCGCTCATGCGTCTTGACAGATCACTATCCCTGGTTGCCTGGAACAGCTCTCTTCATGATATCCCTCCATGCCATCGTTTTAGCCCATCCAGCATCATCTCTCTTGGTCTGCCTCTACCCAGTTTCCTGAAGATCTTTCCAGTTGTCACGATGTTCTCTAATATCTCTCTTCTCATTATGTGGCCAAAGATCAGTGTTTATCTCTTTCTTATTGTTGTATATAGAGATCTACTTTCATTAGCTTCTTTCAAGCAATCGTTGTTAGTTACTCTGGCCGTTAGAGGTATTCGTAACATTCGTCTCAGAAACCACATCTCTGTTGCTTTAAAATTCTTCCTAATTTGTTCACTGACATTCCAAGATTCGCTGCCATATCGCAGAACAGGTTCTATGTAACAGTTTAACACCCTATTTCTGATGTTAAATGAGAGCGATTTCTTGCATAAGATATTTTTCCTTTTTTTTTTAAATGCAGCTTTCGCTTGTCCTATTCTGCATATAATCTCTGTCACACATTTCCCATATGATGATAGGATTGTTCCCAAATATTTGAATTTATTGACTTGGTTAAGTCTTTTTTCTTCAATTGAGATATCACAATGTGGAGTTATCGTCTTCTTTTATATAACCATTACTTCCGCTCTCTTAATATTCAATGAAAGTCCTTTCTTAGCACTCTCCATCCCCACAATATCCAGCAGTTTGTAAATCAGTTGCATTTTCTGATACCAAAACCGTATCGTCTGCATAACGCAAATTTTTCATATTGTATCCCCCATCTCTTACTCCTACATTCTCTTTAATTTCCCTTTAAATTATTTCACTATATATAGAGAGAAAAGATCTGGGGATAAGACACATCCATGTCTTACTCCTTGCTTTATCTTTACAAAAGTATCCAATCTGTTTCCCTCTTTAACTGCTGCTACTTGGTTGCAGTATAAATGTATTTAATTATTCTGAGATCTTTCCCCATCTACATTGAAGTCTTCCAACATTTTTATCATCTGTTCATGTTTAACTTTGTCAAATGTTGTTGTATAATCTATAGCGCACAAATATAAGTCAGTTTGTATGTCCACTGATCTTTCTGTCAGTGTTCGTAATATGTTTATTGCATTACTTGTCCCTTTACCTTCCACAAATCCATATTGCTCTTCACTCATTTCCATTCTTATTTTTCGTTCTGTTCTTCTTATTATAATTCTAAGTAGTAATTTGGTGAAATGATTTATTAAGTTGATTGTACCAAATTCTTCACACTTATTTACTCATGTATCTTCGAATATTTCGCGACGCCCCTGTGAAGAGGTCGCGGCTCCTCGCAGCGCCGCGTCTTACAGTTTAGGAATCACTGGATAAGTCTATCAAATATAGGTCTGGCCCTATATGCCTAATGCGCCCGAAGGCGCGGAAAAAGGTCCTTTACTTTTACTACAGGTATTAAAAAAAAAAAGATATCGTTAGGGAAAGACACTAAGAAGAAAGAAGATTGATGCAGCAGTAAATAATGATAATGCACACATATAGGACAAAAGGAACTTGTAAACGAGCAGTACAACAGCTAACAATAAACATATAAGAGGTATAAATTTGTTATGTGAAATAAAGAACAGAACAACATTCTTTGTTATGAAATGTTTCTGTATTCTCCTACATCTCCTTAGCGTTGACTGGCAGTAAATTCCGGTGTAAAATTCTGGTTCTTCGTCCAATTCTGGACTTTGGTCCTGTTCCAGAACTTTCAGTTTTGCATGCAGATGCAGTTTTCAGATCTGGCTTATTTGTATGCAGACTTTTGGTTCATAGCGTCTTAGGCAGATGTACTCGAACTTTGAAAGAAACACCCATATTTACACGTCTCTTACGACATGTTTTTATGGGGCAGTGGGTATAACGCCCCTCCCCCCCCCTACAAAAATAGGGCCCTAGAACCTATATGGGGATCCTCGGTACTAAAAGTCTCTTTTCATAGAAAATGTGTGGGTAGACAAGGTGAGGGCAGGCAATATGTTGGTAGAAAATATGTGGGTAGACAAGGTGAGGGCAGGCAATATGTTGGTAGAAAATGTGTGGGTAGACAAGGTGAGGGCAGGCAATGTGTGGGTAGCAAGATGCAGGCTGTGAGAAAATGTGTGGGTAACAAGATGAGGGCAGGCAATGTGTGGGTAGAAAATGTGTGGGTAGACAAGGTGAGGGCAGGCAATATGTTGGTAGAAAATATGTGGGTAGACAAGGTGAGGGCAGGCAATATGTTGGTAGAAAATGTGTGGGTAGACAAGGTGAGGGCAGGCAATATGTTGGTAGAAAATATGTGGGTCCCCGCAATGTGTGGTACCCCCCCCCCAAATATGTTGGTAGAAAATATGTGGGTAGACAAGGTGAGGGCAGGCAATATGTTTGTAGAAAATGTGTGGGTAGACAAGGTGAGGGCAGGCAATATGTTGGTAGAAAATATGTGGGTAGACAAGGTGAGGGCAGGCAATGTGTTGGTAGAAAATGTGTGGGTAGACAAGGTGAGGGCAGGCAATATATTGGTAGAAAATGTGTGGGTAGACAAGGTGAGGGCAGGCAATATGTTGGTAGAAAATATGTGGGTAGACAAGGTGAGGGCAGGCAATATGTTGGTAGAAAATGTGTGGGTAGACAAGGTGAGGGCAGGCATATGTGGGTAGAAAAATGGTAGACAAGGTGAGGGCAGGCATATGTTGGTAGAAAATATGTGGGTAGACAAGGTGAGGGCAGGCAATATGTTGGTAGAAAATGTGTGGGTAGACAAGGTGAGGGCAGGCAATATGTTGGTAGAAAATATGTGGGTAGACAAGGTGAGGGCAGGCAATGTGTTGGTAGAAAATGTGTGGGTAGACAAGGTGAGGGCAGGCAATGTGTGGGTAGACAAGATGAGGGCAGGCAATGTGTGGGTAGAAAATGTGTGGGTAGACAAGATGAGGGCAGGCAATGTGTGGGTAGAAAATGTGTGGGTAGACAAGGTGAGGGCAGGCAATATGTTGGTAGAAAATATGTGGGTAGACAAGGTGAGGGCAGGCAATGTGTGGGTAGAAAATGTGTGGGTAGACAAGGTGAGGGCAGGCAATGTGTGGGTAGACAAGATGAGGGCAGGCAATGTGTGGGTAGAAAATGTGTGGGTATATATGTGCGTAGAGTGTGTGGTAGACAACATTCTGGTAGACAACGTGTCGGTAGATAATATGTTGGTATCAACGTCCCTATTGGGTTATTACCAGACCTACTAATGATAGGTGTGTTAGAGTAGACACTAGTTAGTATAACTTTAACCAACACCACCCAGCCAAGACCGGCTCCAGTTGATAGGTCATGCTGCTGACGTCACCTAACCGGGCTAGGATACGTTTAAGGACAGTTTAAATCCCCAAACTGAATTTGATTATATCTGCTGGAAACAATGTTTTCTAAAGGTACATACTACTAGTTAAAGACTGAAGGAAAATTCATGTTTATGCGGAAAATATTTTCACATTTGTACTCAGCATTTACCGAGATATCTCAAAAACTAACAAAGATGACTTGATGAACATTTGCAAATAAATTTAACATTATATGTCAAACTCTATGAACTAAAGACTATTCACTTAATGCAATGGTTTAAAAGTGATGCTTATTTATGTGGTAAAACATTTTGTCCAAACAATTACGGATAAGGGCTATTATAGATGACAAAAACTTATAAAGTTTTCAAGCTGCTGTATTCATTCTAGTTCACTCTATCGCAATGTCATTTTCGCATTTGTGTGCCAAGTTTGGAGACAATGCGTGCATGGACAACACATGGTCTGTACAATACTGCCCAGGCTTTGTGCTAGGGAGAGCAGGAACTTCATCTCTGGCTTTAACTTGCCTCGGATGACTCAATGCATGTAATGGCAGCAAGGTTCATGAAATCCCTTTTCTTTTCCTCTTTTCGACCGCACACAGTTGTTACATTAACTCATTATTTCTGAATTCTTAGTTTAGTTCTTTCTGCTCCATAGGTGTATTATTTTTATTTAACTGAATCAAAACTGTGGCTAGCTTACTATATCAAAGAGTCAGCTGATGAAACTTAAATGCATAGAGAATGAAGCCATGCGGGTAATTGTGGGATGTACAAGAGAGATCCCGGTAGTGTGTATGCAACACGTACTTGCACTGCCTACTATTACAGATAGGCTCAATGTTCTGCAAGCAAAGTCATTTCTCAGAGTAGCTGCAGACAAGAAGCACCTCCTGCATGAAGCACCTGCTAAGGGTCCCAGACTGAGAAGAGGAAGGGCTTGGATGGCGCAAGCTGAAGACACAATTAGACATTTGTACATGTTTGATACATTTGGGAGATGAGAGGAGTGGGTCAAAGTGTCCGTGCAAGTTTCAGACTTGTTCTGATGACTTGAGGTTGTGAGTGCAGGGACTGGCCAGCTGGTGCTTCAGAATCAGAAGTTCCACAAATGATTCATGACTGTTCCCGCCCAGATGATGTGATTATCTATACAGATGGCTTTGTGTTGAGGTGTAGACAAAGTGCATGGGGTTTCATAGCAAAATCGAATAGATGTCGCTTAGTGCAGCAAAGCCTTACATATGCTATCACAACGTCTAGTTTGAGAATGGAGGTGGAGGCAGTTTCTGCTGCCTTCCGCTGGCTTGAGAATCAGCTGTACACACATGCCATGATTATAACTGACTCACAGACCATGTTGAGAAAGGTGGAAACAGGCATGCTCCGTGCAGAGTGGCAAGCATCACTTCAAAGGTCCCGGGTAGTTAGCATAGTTAGGATATTTTCTCCAGGTTACGCCGGAATGTATGTATGGGAAAATGATAAGTCAGACAGACTGGCCGGTTCTGGACGACCTGGTGGCGAATTAATGTATGACAATCTAAACGTTATGAGTGCCCTTTGGGAGTAAGTGAACAGTGCGGAGGCACAAATACATAATGACCATCTCAGGAGAATAATGCTGCGAGAAGTTACCAGGCGATCTGGCTGATGCTCAACACTCAATGGGAAAGACGAAACAGATATAGATCACAGTTACTGGTGCCAGCGGAATTAGAACTCTCTGGTAGCGGCTGAAAATGGGGACGGAACGCTTATGAGAGTGTCCCGAATGCTATGATGTGGATTCTTAAATCAACATTCAACAGAACTGTTCAAACTGGAAGTTCGCCGGACATTTAATGAGTTAAATAATTATATGCTGGTCGTGAAAGCCTTAATCACCCGGAAGTATCCACACCAAGTAAGTTTTGCTATTTTATGATTTCCTATCTTTTGCCTCTCTCTCTCTCTCTCTCTCTCTCTCTCTCTCTCTCTCTCTCTCTCTCTCTCTCTCTCTCTCTTCCACCACTCCCCCCCCCCCATATCTCACTCACTCACCTTCTATTACTTTTTTTTAAAAAACAAGACGTCTATGCAAGTATGAAATCAAATCAGCAGACAGTACCTGTATTAGGTTAGTATATGTGTTTACTAGTAGAATAAATTTGCATAAAGTTTAATGAAACTTAAGAAACACATTCGCTACAGTGTTTACAATTGGTGAGTGAAATAGAAAATGAAACGGTGCAATGCAGGACTAAATATAAAATGAATTACTCAAATATGCAAGGGATAATTACAATTATGTAATCTACCAACAATTCTAGCGAAATAAAAATATACAGAAATAAATAAACAAAATACTGTTGTAAGTAAAAAATAAATTACTAACAAATTAGTAAAAATAAATAAATAAATAAACGTGCAACAATGAAAAGTGTAAACATGCCATTATTTGCTATAAACTTTATTTACAATAATAAACGTAAATTTAGAACACTAGTAAAAGGCTACGTTTAGAAATCTTGTATTAAAAAAACAAAACTATAATCTTTTCCAAATTAAATGCTATAATTTTTTTTTTGGAAGGAACAGGAATAGAACATTTAATTGTAACTTTAAGAACAGAACGTATGGTTCCTGGAAGAAAAGAGGCAGATAGTGATAAAGGATATCAAGAACACCCAGGGAATGAAAGTTGGCCAGGTGCCATGAGGCTTTCCAGCATTCCGGGATGACAGTGATGTTCCCCAAAGATCTGCTATTATATGATAATGACGATAATTATTCTTTTTCATTTTGAATATGTCCTTACGACTGGTATGCTACTGTTGGTCATCTAACACGACTATTGGCTGGATCCGCACCACTAGATGGTGAAATGATACATGACAAGGCAGATGTGGTCAAGGCCCTTTGGGAACAAGCTACGGAATCAGTAGAGAAAGAAGATTATTATGACCTGGGGAGAATGAAACACTGGGTGTAACCAAAAGGTCTGGCCGGCTGACTACACTCAGAGGAAAGGCAAGACGGACATTTAACCAGATTGTGACCAGTACCAGCAGTATTGGAGCTCTGTGCTGGCTGCTGAAGATGAGGAGGGAGCATGCATGGGAATGCCCCGAGTGCTGTGATGTCAATTCTTGACTCAACTCAACTCAACTCAACACGACTGTGGCTCATATTATTGATCAGTTATTGTACTCACAGCTTTCTTTTTCTTATGAAACTCTTTTTTTTTTATAACAACAGAACATGACCTTTTATGAGATGGGAAAAACAACAATACTGTGAAAAAAAAAAGCTGCGGGGAAATACAGAGAAAAAGATCTAGAGAAAATTTCGTAAGAAAAAAGCCGTAAGAAGATATATTTATTCATTCTCTATGATTCACTTTGTCCTACAAGTTGTTATTCAGTTTTATCATTAATCCTGCAGTTTCTTAATCTGTTTCACATTAATTCTGCAAGTTTCACAATTAATCCTGCAAGTTCTTAATCTGTTTCACATTATTCCTGCAAGTTCTTATTCTGTTTGACCATTTTTCCTGCAAGTTGTTATACTGCTTGACAATTAATCCTGCAATTTGTTACTCTGTTTGACCATTTTTCCTGCAAGTTCTTATTCTGTTTGACAATTAATCCTGCAATTTCTTATTCTGTTTCACCATTAATCATGCAAGCTGTTTGACCAATTTTTTGAATGTCATAGAATGAAAAAAAAAGTGAAACTTCCTGACATTTTTCTTCCACTTTTTTTCTCTGATGAAAGCAGTAAAATCAAGCATTTCAAGAAAAACAAAATGTCTGAAACTTAAATAAAAAAATAAAATAAAAAAATAGACATGCAATGCATCTAGGCTGGACTCATGCAATGCAAACAAAGAAAATTTACAAGGGTTAACAAATGTAGAAAGAAAATTTGCCATGCTATAAACTATAAGCTGTTCATATAAAAAATGAATAAACATTCTGCCTTATTATAATTGATGTTAAGTTTTCATGTATCAGTTAAAATACACACACAGACACACATGCATAGGTGTCAATATGTAGGAAATCACACAAAGGTGCATGCACAACACGCCTACATATACACAACACCTACACAGCAGCCACACACATTCACAGCAGCCACATGCATACACAGCAGCCACACACACACACAGCACCCACTCACATACACAGCAGCCACACACATACACAGCACCCACTCAGAAACAGCACCCACACACAAGTAAAGGTAATCCCCAGTAGTTTAGGTATAAAGCATAATCGCCCATTCCCAATTATAGCAAAGTGGGGTAAGTCAATCTATTCCATTCTTATCTTTTCTTCCTATAAATTGTGACAATAAACTAGTTTCAATGTTTATTGCCTGGGTCAACTCTAGAGTTGAAAGAAAAAACATTCTGCCTTTATTAGGGATAGAACCTGGACCTCTGTCTTGACTGCAAAGTTCTCCTACATGTACAAAAAAAAAAAAGGTAGTACTCGGGCATCAAGTCATTAGTTGAGGTTCAAACTTCCACAGTCCTGTTGCTATTTTCCTGTGCCACAGGAAATCACACAAAATGCCCTTCACCGTCCTATCTGAAAACTAGTGAAAAACAGATCAGTCCCAGCACAATCCAGAAGTCTGCACAGGCAAAGTAAATGCATCAAGTAGCCACCAGATGTGCCACCACTACCACTGGGGTATGAAGTGTTCAGCTTAAAATATACCACAGCACACAAGGTGTAAACAAGATAAAGTGCACATTCAGAAAATACTGAATGGCTGGTTGCCACAGAACTAGCAGTGTGCCTTATACAGCAGTGTGTTCGCACCTGCTGGTTTGTCATGAATGCTGCTTCCGTTCAACTATGAATCATATTTCTAGTTGCAAACTGTTAGTGTTGGCTGCCTTATGCA